CCGGTGCATCGTCGTCATCATCGTCGTCCGAATCTGCGTCTGGCATTGCAGCATCGCTGCTCTTCGTCGCAGCATTACTCGCTGACTTCCGGGGCGTGTCCGCGTCACTAAGTGCTGCTGTTGCCCCAGCATTCTGCGATGAAAGCGGCGTATCTGTAGTCTCCTCCCCGTCCTCATCTTCCTCCTCATTGCCATCAACCACGGAAGGAGCTTGGCTGCTCTCTGCATCTTCCATATCGTCGTCACTATCGGCGAATGGCGCTTTCCGTTTCGGTGGACTCTTTCTCCTCTTGCTCTTCTTGGCCGGTGCATCAGCTTTTCGCTTTTTGGATGCGACTGGCTCCACGGTTCCAAGCACGAGCGACTTCTTGAAGACTTTCATGTTTTCCTCGCGGATCGCCTGTTCTCGCGCGAAGAAGGCGGCATCCTTCTCGGCGTCCCAGTCCTCGTCGTCCGAGTCATGCACGTACATCGTACTCAATGCTTTGGCTTGCTTCTCGATTTCCTTCTTGCGGCGTGCCTCGGCTCTGCGGTCTTTCTCTTCGTCGTCAAGCTCCACGGGACTATTCCTTCGGCGTCGTCGCTTCAGTGTCTTGCGAGGGGCGTCTGCATCTCTCTCGGTGGGACCACCCTTGGCGTACTCTCCGTGGTCCTCTTCCTCGTCGTGGTCTATGCCGTCAGAGTCATCGTCAAACTCGGCCCGGCGAGTGGAGCGTCGAGCTGCTGCAGCCTTGCTACGAAGCAAGTCTTCTGGCGCTTTGCCGTCCTCATATGTTGGGGGATCGAATTCATACTTGCGAATGAGATCGATAGCTTCTTGCAGTTGCGCTGAAGTAAGGGATGAAGGTACGATCCATGAAGCGTCTGGATCATGATGTTCTCCTAACCTCTCGAAGCCGATCAGGTTCATAAGCAGTCGTAGTTTGTTGTCTTTAAACATAGCTACGCGTCGTTCTTCGGTGTCGTGCTTGATGACTAAATTCAGTTAGCACACTCCTTCATAGTGAGAGTAGGGTACTTACAAATCGATGGCGGCTTCGAGGTTTCAGTGTCTGGATGCCCAGGTGCCTCGCCTTCTGGACGCTCCTCTACGTCGGCCACCAACGCCTTTTGTGCTTCAGCGGCCTCTTCCCACGCCTTGCGCTCTTCAGCTGCCGATGTAAGCACATCGCGTACCCAGCGGAGAGCATCCGACTTTGACTGATTGACAAGAACACCAACAGCGACACCAATCTGATCAGGTAGCTCCATTCCAGGTTTGACCTCAAGCTCTGCCGGAGCTCGTGGCGCTCGAGTGTGTATCTCGCGATCATATCCGTGCTCAAGGAAGAAGATGGTTGCAGGGATCTTGTCAAACAGCATCTCGACTACCAGCTCTGGCCTCTCTTGTACTCTCTTTACAACCTGCCTGAAGAAGTGTTTGACAAAATCATCCCACTCTCTGTAAGCTGGCGACTCTGGATCAAGGCCACCTGGACCTTTCATCATCTTGTTGAAGAGCGCCAAGATATCCACTCTGCAAAGCAAGACACCAAGCTCCATCTTGAAAGCGACACGGTGAAAGAAGCGATGCGCACGCTTGAGCTGCTCGGTATCCAGGTCGCTGAAGTACTTGGCAAAGGCAACGAAAGTGTTGACGCTGCTTTGATTCACAAACTTTGCTGAGAACTTCATGAAATCGAACTTGCGTTCAGAAACCGTCTTTTGGGCCTGTTGGAGGTCTTCAGTCTCAGAGACGTTGCCCTCTTCCTCTCCGTCTTCGCCCTGCTTTTCAGCTTTCTTCTTCTTGATCTTTCGGGCTCGTCTTTTCGATCGGATTTGCATGTCAACGTTCTGCTTTGCATAGCGCTCGAGCATCCGCAGAAAGACATGGGAAAGCTCTGTGACTGCATCAAGGTAGCCAAAGCCTTGATCTTTGTATGATCTTAGGATCATGACTATTCTGTCGTGTGTTGACTCTTCGTAGAAGATACGGTTCTGAATGTTCTCGGCAATCTCTTGGTCTTCCTCAAGACCTGACTCGGACATCTCATGCACGGTAAGCAAAATTCGGGTGAAGCACTTCAGCCCGGCGTTGAGGTCTCGCCATGCCTTCTCATCTTGACTCTTCTGCATGAAGCGGTTGAGTAGAATGAAGGTCTCCTGATTCATGACTTCGGCTACTAGTCCGTAGCTCTCATCCTCAGCAGACAGAACTTCAGGACTCTTAGGGTCTGCGGCCCTCTCCTTCATCGTTCGCCGCCGTGCGCACTCTGCTCGTAGGAACCACGATACGAGGTAGAAGAACTGCCTAGAGTGTCGTGTTTCCACACGCTCCGTTTCGCGCTCGATAGCTTTCCGCAGATGCAGAAATAGAGGGTTAAAGGACGAGTCCAGGAACTCCTCGACGAACGCTTTGATGTGTTTCCGCGCAGAAGAGGTCAGTGGTACCGGGAGATCGAACTCCTCTCTTTCTTCATCGCCGGCTTGCTTCTTCCCGGGGCGACGGGGTTTATTCCACTTCTTTGTATCATCCATCTTCTGCATGCTAGCCTGAGCCTTCCCTAGCACGTCCTGCCCGGATATAGTTGTGACCTTCTCGTCGTCCCGCTTCATCCAGATCATCGTTCCGAATCGATTATGCCGGGTTGGTGCGTTGCGGGCGTAGCCTGCAAGCATGGCCTTTTCTTTCTGGATCAAGCCCTTAAGCTCGTCCGTGTTCTTGATGTTGAGCTTCTTGTCTTCCATGAATAACTTCTCAGCATCGATGCCCTTGAGGAGGAAGAACAAGATTTCGAGAATAACAACATCCTGGGTGACAAAGTCCTCCCCGATACTAGACGCTATACTCAGAATCACCTGAAATATGTCCTGCTCGTGGAAAGTATCAATCGTTGCAGATCGGGAGACTTCAGCTTCGTCGGTGTCCATGTGTGCATTGTTCGGGGGCGCGAGCATGGCGATGTTGCGTATGAAGTATAGTGCGATTCGGATGATACCCTCGTCTCGTGGTGTGCGTTCTCGGAGGGGTACGGCCATAGAAGGGAGCGCGATCTTGACGGCAGTTTGGAGGGTTCTGTCTCGGTCGAATTGCAGGATAGCACGTTTGTAGCCAATTTGGGCGAGCCCGATATAAGGCCCATGCCGGTGGTGGTTTACGGTCGCTTCGGTGGGGTCAATCTCGTTGGGCCAAGTCAAAGGCACGAGAAGTTCCACTGCGGTCGTCAGTACAGTCTCAATATTCAGAGTATGCTCTCTCACATGTCGCAACCGCAATCTTGTGCTTCCAGGCGCTTTCCATGACAGTTGGTGATATCTTGGCCAGTATCTTAAGCAAGTCGCCCTTTACGAGGTTTGCTTCGGCCATGCATCGTGCTACATCGCGTCGATTGTACTGCCCGTCGGCGAACTTCAGCCATTTCCGTAGGTCCTTGAGACAGAGCAGGGCGTCGTGTCCGAGTGCATACGTGCCGTCATCGCCAATACCACCGAGCTGTTTCCATGTCAGTAGCCATTGTGTCAGTAGAAGGGGATACGTACAGCAGATATTAGACTAGAGACGTGAGCGCGAACTTCTGGGTTCACAGTGTCCTGCGCCCAGTCGTCCAGCGTTGTCTGAGCCATTGTCGTGGTTGATGCTCAGATTGCCCGCCGGTGTCGCGATGGCCCAAAAGACGCGTCGACGCGTAAAGTGCCACAAGCGGGACAAACCGCGCAAATCCGCCAAGACAGGGCTGATCCTCGCGCCTTCCCGCCGCCAGTCAACGTCATGCCTCGGCTAGCCCGCCGCGGTTCTCATCGGCCTGAGGAAATGTCGTTCTTCATCACATGTTTGATCGCGCATCTTTCACAATTCGTGCAATCCTTCGATTAAATACACACGATGTTTTCCGTAGCCTCAAAACAAGTCGCTCGTTGCGCTGTACGGCAGCAATGCCGTGCCTTCAGCTCAACTCCCTCTGTCGGTGCTGCCGCTGAGGTCAAGAAGCTGGGTGTTATTGGAGCAGGCCAGATGGTATGCATCAATGCACCAACCCTACAGCTGTCAATCTAACATGATCAGGGCCTCGGAATAGCTCTTGTAGCAGCACAGAGGGCCTCAGTACCGGTCCGGTTGATTGACAACTCCCAAGCATCAATCGACAAAGGTCTGAAGTTTGCGGACAAGCTACTCGAAAAGGATGTTGGAAAGGGCAGAATCTCGAAAGATGACGCCGCAGCGGCAAGAGAGCGATTGACTTCCAGCACATCAATGGACGATCTGTCAGACGTCGACTTCGTTATCGAGGCCGTACCAGAGATCCCAGACCTAAAGCACAAGATCTTTTCGCAACTCGCGCAAATCTGCCCATCGCACGCCATCCTAGCCACCAACACCTCGTCCATATCGATTACCAAGATCGCGGCGAGCACTACCACCGACCCAACAGATCTCTCGGCTTCATCACGCGTCATCAGCACACACTTCATGAACCCAGTACCCATCCAGAAGGGCGTCGAGATTATCACCGGTCTTCAGACCTCGCAAGCTACCGTCGAAACCGCAATCGCGTTTTGCGAGAAGATGGGAAAGATACCGTCCAAGTCCGCCGACAGCCCCGGTTTCCTTGCAAACCGTATCCTTATGCCGTACATCAACGAGGCTGTTATTTGCCTTGAGACGGGTGTAGGTGCCAAGGAGGACATTGACAGCATCATGAAGAATGGAACGAATGTACCTATGGGTCCACTGCAACTAGCGGACTTCATTGGCATTGACACTTGCCTGGCGATCATGCAGGTCTTGTACCATGACACGGGTGATTCCAAGTACAGGCCCGCAGTGCTGCTCAAGAAGATGGTCGATGCAGGCTGGCTAGGAAAGAAGAGTGGTAAAGGATTTTACGATTACTAGAAGAAAGAATATGAAAACGCAGACACTATCGCGCACAATCGTATATCTGTGCTCCGAAGTCATGCCCTGCAACCCGTCGCGCCCATGACATAGCCTGAAGGTGCCCTCCATCAAATCTCATGAGCCCTCATACCCCCAAGCCTGTTAACCATCGAACATCATCCTCCGAGAAGTCACCCATATGGTCACCCATATTTGGGATCTCTGTCTTCATCGAAGGTCCACCGTTAATCTCCATCTCATCCTCATGCCCGGCACCCATCAGCGGCACCGCCGCTCTCGCCAAGCACATAAGCTCACGCTCCATCTCCTCTTCCTCTTCCCTCCCACTACAAACAGCCCAAGTCCCCTTCCCCCACAACTTCTCCTTCAACCAAGCCATCTTCCCCCTCTTCACATCATCCTCTTCCATCTCTGCCTTCAAGCCAGTCCCAAACTCCAGCTCGCCCCTCGCCCCTCTCTCTTCATCATCCAACTCCACGCCACTGAGTCCCAGATCGCCCATGTCTTCACATTTGTGGATGAGCGGCGTAACACCTAGTTTCACTGACTCCAGAAAGTGGGAATTGCGTATGTTATTTCTGGCTTTCTGCGCGGTGGGGAAATAGTAGGTTTTATTGGCGGGTGTGCGTAGTTGCGCTCGCGTTCTGAAATGTTTGAAGAAGGGTTTCTTCTTCTGCGCTGCGCTGGTGTTTGGCGGCGGCTGTAGGAGTGATTGGGGTGTTGGGAGGTATTGGGTTTTGGCATGGTTTTGCGTGGGTGGGTGAATGGTGAGGCGGCATCCACGCTTGGGCTTCTTTGGCGATGGTGTTTTGGGGGGATGGATGATGAGGCGGCATTTACGTTTGGGCTTCGCGGCTGATGGTGTGGTGGGTGGTGATGCTTCCTCACCCATTTGAGGAGGCGAGTTTGCGACCATGCGGCCGGGCGAGAGGAAATGCTTCATGATGCTTGATTTTACGGTTTTGTATTGGTGTTGGTTGGTTTAATTGGGATTCAACTCTCTTTGCGGAATTTTGATGTAGAGGTTTGGTGTGATGGTATGGTCTTTGGAAATGGACATGGACATAATTTATCTATACCGCTAGCTCGGTATAAAATATGTGAGCGCGCATGGAAACCAAAGTGCACACATGGTAAGCAGAACTAGTCATAGCAGTACCATAGTTGCATTGCTGAGATATTACATTTCTTGCCATATACATCCTACATCACTGGCCGAGGACCTCGAAGTGGACACTCACGTACAACAATATCTGGTACCATGGTTGCGTCGCGCGGGAGTACTACATGTATCTACCATATACACTTTTTATCACTGGTCACAAATGTCGAAGTGGACCCTTATGTGTAATCAAGTACCATAGTTGCCTTGACTAGTCTACATTTTTTTACCCCAACACCGCCAATCAGCCAAACCCTTAAAATAATCGCAATGCTTCCCAGCGGCAATCGTCGCAGTCACTGAGCCCAAACGCCGTACTCCCCAAAACAAATGCCGCAGTCCCCAACCCAATGTCGTAATATGCTCATCAACCGCTCGACTCGGAGCCCACCACCGCACCCTGACTCATCACACTCCATCCTGCCCAGTGGACTCCGCGAACCCACTCGTCTTCGCCTTCCTCTTGCGCTTGAGACTTTTGCGGTCACGAGGTTTTCCATTTGACGAGAAAGCTTCCTTCGCTAATTCTTTGGCGTACGCACTTTCTGTGATTTTCCTGTTTGGCTCCAAAAGTGCGGCAACTCTGACTTGTTCGCGGTGCTCGGCTTGTATTTGACTGAGTGGCTTTGGCAGCTTTTGTTCCGGTTGAAGTGGGAGCGTTGCCAGTAAAGCGTCGACACGGGCGGACCTGTTGATTGGCGGTCTGATGATGTTGTCTGACGGTGCTGCAGTTCCGTCGGTGTAATGCCTCATAAGCTTATTGTTGTAGGCAGCGTTGATCTCTTTTAGCTGAGGCGGGGGCCTTTGAAGATTGGGTACCCAGCGTTTTGCAGCGGCTTTTCGGAGCTTGAGCTTGCGCGATTCCTCTTTGGAGATGTCGAGCTGAGGGATTTCGAGCTTGCTTTGATCTGCTGCTTTGATTGATTCTGCTGCCTTCATCTCTGCTTTGCGCGGCATCGGTCTTTTGCGCGGTCGGACGTCCTCTTTGGGGGTCTCTTGCTGCGGCATCTCAAGCTTCAGACGCATTGTAAGAAAAAACTAAATACCCTGCAGTCTACGTTGACGTTGTGTCACCCACTCTGCACGCTTTTGACTTGATGTAGTCTGCAGACCTGTTCAGTTTTAAAACTCCCTTTGTGTAGAGTGGGTATCTCGATTGGTGAGGCGCTGCGGGAGAGGTAAGCGAGTGTTGTAAGGAATCTTGAGCCTAGACACTGTGAGTAGGAGACTAGGAGTCTTGTACCAATATTTTAGCATTGTGAGGCATTTATAAGATATGAGCGTGGGGTGACTAGCGTTTCGAGTCATCGAGGTGAAGTTTGTAAGCATACTTAGGTACAATGAAAGCCTACATTGTTACCACTCGCGACCTATACATCCTTGGCATGCCGCAGGCTCCCACATAGCAATTGAAGGACATGCTTCCAGTGCGCCTATAGATATCTCCTTCACCATCACTCTTCCTCACTCTCATCCTCGTCTCTCACCTTCTCGCAGCCACAAGGCCACAAGTGATTGACGGCATAGCCAGGGTACTTCTTTGTGAACTCATCGTACCAAATTTGCCATGCATCCCATGTATCCTTGGTCTCAAGGTCGATTGTTATCCCCTGGTTCGGCTTCGGATAGTGTGGAAACTGCTCGTAAATCGTGCTGCGGAAGTTCTTGAACTCTGACCACTTGAGATAGTCGACCGGTTCAAATTGATGGCCCACGCCCGTGTGCCGGTCGTTGTCGGCTTGGAAGTCACCTTTGCGTCCGTGGTCTCCTTCTTTCAGATATGAAACGGAAGGAGATTGGTGCGACTTGGGAGCGCGATGTGGTACTAGGTAGCGTGTTAGCGAGGTGTGCTGTATGGAGCAAGCGGAGTGAACAGCCGAGATAATCTATGTTTGGACCGCCCCGGGAGGTATCCGATGGTTGTGAAGAAGTGCGCAGCGAATGGAACAACCCGCATTGCATCAGGAGTATCCAAAGAAAAGCTGTTACTTACTTGTGGTCTCATGGAAGTACGTCTCGCCCTTGCGATACCCTTTGCCAGATGTCGCTGTGAGCACGCGATCCTCATTACGTCCGCGAATGATTATCGAAGAGCGGTCGGGATCCAAAGGATTCATGCCAGTGGCCTGCATGAAAGCATCTTGGCGGGACCCTTTGGTGTTATATAGCGATGTTTGCCTTTCCGTTTGCGAAAGCGTCGGTATGTTGTAGTCGACGAGGGTGCCTGTGAACTCATCCTCAGCCGAATGTCCAGTATTAATAGCAGCCGTGTTTGTCAGTGCGTCACGCTTCTGCAACTTTGCGTGTGGCCGGCCGTCCGGTGGCTCATCAGGTGCGCTCCTCTTCCGGTGACTAGATTGACGGGAGGTACTACTGTCTTTGATCGTAATTGGCGAGTCATGTTTTCTGTTGACGGGTGTAGAGGGTGTATTGCCCTGTATTGGTGTTCTCACACTGGAAGATGTCGGGGTGGTGGGGGCTGGGAAGGAAACGGCGTCATCAGCATCATCGGTTTCTTCTTTGTCATCTGCGACTTAGACTGTCAGTATACCTGCGCGCATTCAATGCGATGAGAAAGAAACCTACTAGATAATGTCGACTTCGGATTGCGTCCAAGAGCAAGTGTCTCCTTCTCTTCGATCCAGTTCGCGAGCCTTGATTTCGCTAGTCCCTCGTCCTTCAGCTCTTGCCTCTTCTCCGCGCCTGCATACTGCTCTACAATATCAAGTAAGTCGTCCACGCTGTACTTGAGCAGACCCTTGGACAAGCGAGCGTACGGCCTCTTTTTGTTGCCCAAGCCGTCTTTGTTGTACAGTGGAATCTTCAAGCCGTTCGCCTCGTAGAACCTAGCCCCAGAAGCCCGCGTCGGTGTGGAAGGTGTAGCTGGGGTCGCACTTTTCGCCCTTGCCCTCGCAGTACTCTTCTGCTTTGGGGGACTGCTCGCGTGGGATTCAGGAGCTTTTTTCTTACCCTTTCCTTTGCCTTTCCTCGGCGTAGCCAAGTTCATGGCGCGCGCGACTTCGTTGTCGTCGATAATGTTCGTTCGGTCCATGATGTCGCTGAGTTAGATGATAGCTGCAATCCCTGAAGATGTGCGAAAGATTGGAGGAGCTAGAATGAGAAATCAAGCAATGTGAGATTGGTTGAGGAGCGAAATTATCCGTTTGTCTCTAACCCCATTCACAATGAAGTGAAGGCCGCGAATGCACCGCAGAGAAAGCCTGAGCTCTGCACAGTACACGCCTTCACTTTCGAAACGACCAAGTACCGCGCGCTCATAGGGCCCCTGAACAACCAATGAGCGAATCTTCATATGAGGGCGCGTGCAGTATTTTAACTGGCCGGGCACGGAAGAGTTGCGCTATGTGGACCATGTGAGCACAGAGCGATTGATAGACGTGATCAAACGGTGATCCTGAAAGCTGACAAAACTACAAAGAAATCGTGTTGACACAGTGCGACGATTGAAAACACCGAAAATCGAAGTACACACGTCCAAGGTGTGAAGCGATATTCTGAAGCTCGGGTAGCTTGCATGCTATCGCGTGTCGAATGTCAGCCTTGGAGTGTATCGCAACCATGGTTCTCGGTAGCTTGCTTGATGATCTGATCTTTTTCTCGTGCTGTCTGCCACGTCCTATAAGGGACATGACCTCGAGGCATTGACAGAACATGGAATGAGACCATAATGTATCCACGCTCTCTTTTCACTGACACGATATTTGTTCCGCCTACCTGCTGAGTCCAAGCATTGCAGATACTCCGTGGCGGGCGAAGTAATCCGAGGTTTACAAGGAGAAGAAGTAAGGGATAATAACGTGATCGAGATACGGAGCAGTGGCATAAGTTAGTGTACAGCCTTTGATGAATTCGCTAGAGCGTCTGATGCGTCACCGCAGTACCGTGTTTGTCGGTGGAGGCTGACCGTTCTGCCGTGGACATACTACGATATAGTGTAGACGACCATTATCGCGTGTATTCAAAACCATAGGCCAGGGCATGTTGTGATGGAAAGTCATAATCTGGAGTTGGGACGTCTCGCATCGCAGAGTCGAAGTTGGCAAAGAGTTGCGGTCGGCGTGCCACGTGAGACAAGGCGGAACCGACCGCCGATCTAAAGGAGCCGAGGCATACCCGCCTCCAGCTTTCGGATCGTCATTTCGCGACTCTCCAGTTCCATCACCAACTTCGACCTGCGCGTGCTACTGGCATTGCGTATCGTGCAGTCAACATGGTCCGCGAGGATATAATACAGTCGGCGGTGTCTTGTAGGTTGACGCACGACACGTTCTACGCGACGACACTAACAGCCGCCAGTCCTCCAGGACCCGTCCGTTGCCAGCGCACCCCTTGAGAAGCGCATCGCTTTCCTGCAGTCCAAGAACCTCACACAAGAAGAAGTCGATGTCTCGCTCGCGCGTGCAGCCGAAGACCCCAGTTATGCTTCATCGCCTCCACCCCAGACATCCGCAGTAGCCAGCAATGCGTACAGACCACCACCGGCAGCCCCGTATGGGAGCTATCCGCCCCAACAATACTGGCAACCGCCTCCGCCGCCCCCGGAGTAAGCATAGAGATTACCTACGTCCGGTTCCGATGCTGACAGATACAGACCGCCGAAACGCGACTGGCGCGACTACTTCATCATGGCGACCGTCATGGGCGGTGTAGGCTACGGCCTCTACTTCACAGCGAAACGATACGTTCTACCCCTGATACAACCACCTACGCAACCCCAGCTGGAGCAAGACAAGGCTTCAGTCGACGAATCCTTCAAGCGCGCGTTCGATCTCCTCGAGCAACTCAACACCGACACAACCGCTCTCAAGGCATCGGAAGAGGCACGGACAACAAGACTGGATGACGCGCTTGGCGAGGTGGAGAGTGTCCTGACGAGCCTCAAGGAGTCGTCGAAGAGACAGGGAGACGACAACAGACGTATCGAGGATGACGTCCGCGGCTTGAGGGACTTGATTCCGAAGGCATTGGACTCACAGAAGGAGTCCACCGACAAGAGGCTGCAGGAGCTGTCAACTGAGCTGAAGAGCCTGAAGACGTTGATTGGCAACAGGATGAGCTCTCCGGCACCACCACGCCCACAGAGCACCTCGGGCTACTACGGACAAGCGCAGTCGCAGACACCCAACACAAACGGCACACCCGCTGCTTCGGCATCGACACCCCAGCCGTCGTCTACTCCTGCGCCCAGTGAGCAGACCAACGGCACGAGCGCTACCGAGACCCAGACAAATGGTAGCGCAACGCCCGCGCCCACTCCTAACGCTGCCACCGAGAAGCCTCTCCCTGCGTACGGTAGGCCCTCGCCGGGACGCGCTGCTATCCCAGCATGGCAAATGGCTGCCGCGAAGAAGACCGAGGAGGCGAAGAAGGACACGAGCGAGAGCGGAACTGCGGTCGATGCCGGAGCCAGTGCGTAGAATGATCGTAGCTGTATTATCTGAGAAACGTTGTGCATCTTTGGCGTAGTTATTCTGCTATGTATTATTTGGATAGGGACAAACTCATGGTTACGCTTTGAAAATCATAATCTCTGTGGACTGCAATGTGACGCCTTGGAAATGCGACGTCCTACTTGCGACAATGGATTACCATGCAATTAGCTAGGGTTCTGCGTATATTCACCCTTGACCTACCTAGAGCACGACTGCGCATGCACGCAGTATTAGCGTCCTAGTTATCGCTAAAAGAGAATGCATGTGCATCTTGAATGCGATGATGTGGTCGCTCAACTGCTCGTATCCCTACCCCTAACGCAGGCTAAGTCGCTTCTGGGCCATCGTGATGTCGTGACGTCGCGATGTCGCGTCTCGCGTCAGTGCTCCCACCTAACGTCGACCAGCCATCTCAAAACAAACTTCCAGCCTCCAGCGTCATCGACATTGCACACAATCCGATATCTCATGCACGATCGATCTCGCCAATCTGTAGCTCAGACAAGAGGCTCCACAATCCCCTGACGCTACGCTTGTGTTGACGTCGACTGTCACCCTCTTTCGGCTGCAGGT